AGTCATCTGCGATGTGTAACCAAACACCTCTTTCTGGCAGTCTTCTATTTTGGTACCTCTCTGTGAACAGATGTGGGAAGATTTTGGTCAAACCCAAGAGGCTCTGGTGGGGAGCGGTGGGGTGGGGTGGGGTGGAATGGGGCGGGACGAGGTGGGGTGGGGTGGTTGGCGAGTGCCTGGGAAACAGGCTTAACTCATCCTGACTCGCAGCCTTGGTGAAACTGGGCTGCTGCCCGCAGTAGGCACAGCGACATGCACATACCTGAGTGTGAGCGTGTTGCAGGCGTAGTGCTTAGGCATGTGTGTCACAACAGGGCGTGGGGGCCGACCTCAGGCACTGGGAGTATCAAAGGCGCCTTGCTCTGGGATTTCAAACCTCAGGTGTTCGGAGATTATTCGCATCTGTGTACGTTTCAAGTTGGCACTGGACTGCAATGGCAAGAGATAATTTTATGGCTTCCTTGAGTGAGGTTTCATTTGGATTCCTCGATTAAACTAGGTGGCCGTGAAGAGTCAACCTTCATGCAAATTCAGGTCCATCGCCGTGGGGTCAATGGGACCGTAGGCACGGCTACTGCGATGGGGCTTTTGCTTGAGATCTCGGCCGGCGTCCGGGCGCGTAAGGTCCGCGGGACAATGTTCTGGCCCCCGGGCCGACTGGAACGGGGCAGTTCCCCTCTCGACGGTTCCAGGGCGGTGCCGGGGGCGGGCCGGAGCGTGAAGGGTGGGAAGAGGAGCCAATGAGAACCCGGCTTTTCCGGGCGGGGTGGGGCCGCGGCCGGGCGGGGCGGGGCCTTCGACTGGGCCTGCGGGGGCGGGGCGCAGCCGACTCCGAGTGCTAGCGCCGAGAGCTGGCGCCTCCGCGGTGAGAGCGAGAACCTCGCAGCCCGGCCGTGGGGGCGACGTGGAGGTCGAAGGCAGGTAGGTGCGGGGCGATCCTGGGCGGCCTCTAAGGCGGGTGCCTCGGTCCCTCGAGGCGGTGCGTGTCGCATGCTGGGCGTCGGAAGCGGGGCAGCGGGGCTGGCAGTGAGGGAGCCGGGACGCGCGGAGGTGTCGGCCGGGCCCCGCAGTCTGGGCGCCTCCCCTGCCCGGAGGGACACACGAGGGTCGGACCCGAGCCCGGCGACAACTGGCGTCGGGAGCCCGGCTGGTGGGCCTCGGTGGCTGTGGCGGAGCCTGGCGAGGCGTCTCTCCGCCGCTCACCTCGAGGCCCGAGACCAGGGGCCGGGGGCGCTCGGCAGTCTTAGGGACGGGAGAGGGAGCGCGCCATCCAGGAGGAAACGCGGGGCTGTCGCCGGGACTGGCCGGCGAGTTTGAACGTCCACAGGCTGAGACCGTGGACTTTTAAACATTTGTGTGTGTTTCGATTCTTAACAGAATCTGAGGAGCACAATATTGAAAGTCGTCAAGTAGGATTTTGATTTTAAAATCGGACAGTGGGACATCTAAGAACTTTTGAGTAACTAGTATAGCAGAGGATGATTAGATTGTGAGTCAAGGGCTGGAGTCTCCGCCAGGACCCACATAACACATGTGATACCTCAGTCAAAACTACTGTGAAACTGGGAAGCTCGCGCCCAGGGGTGTTGAGAGCCAAAGGAGATGAGTGAGAGTCGTCTGTAAATGTTAGGTATTGAAATTGATGCATCAGCAGCATGCATATTCTGTAAAGAACCTACTAAACGCCAGACACGTAGTAGGCACTATGTAAATCTTTACCCCGAGGCTAGTGATTCACCTCCAAGTGTTTTAGATAAAAGTCTTAAATCTTTGTTTTCTGCGTAAATTGTTTAAGCTCCTTTTTTTTCCCCCAGAATCGCCATTGCTTGAAGTGTGGTCCATTTTTAACTGATTAATAAATTTTTCCAGAATAGCACATATTATCTATACATTGTTACTGAATTATTTATCATGAAGTTAGGTAGCAATCGAATACGTAATTTACTTTTTTTGCTTTAGGTAAGTAGTTCTAGTTTAAGTTACCTGGTAAAGTAAGCTGGGAGTATGGCTTCAAATCAAGACTTTCATTTGCTTTTGTAAGATTTAAGTCCTTCAAAACAAAATTACTATGTAGCTGTATTTTTTTGTACATTTATTATAGACACCTGCGTTCTTTTCCATGGATATGTGAATGTATAAGGGGTTTTAGGGGGAGAACGGAAATAAAAAAAGGGAATAGCAATTTGTTACCATCAGACTTACTGGGGATATTTGTAGGTGGTTCTGAAGTAGTCTCCCAGGTAGAAACCTGGAAATATAGTAATTGTACCTCTTGGCCTTTCATCAGGGTTTTTTTAATATTGAATATGGCAATAGATTTTTAAAGACGCAGATATAAAGGAAGAATATTGGGTTTTTTTGATGTGACAATAGACAGTTTTCTAAACCTGGAAATTATATTTTAAAAGATCTGTAGTGTGTCTTATAGACAAGAATTTTAGACCAAAGGAGACTAAAAGTAAACCAGATGGAGTAGAGGGAAGGTTCCCAGTGAGCATAATTTGTGTGTTGCTTTAAAAGTTTTATGTTTCAGCAGTTCAGTGGAAGATAGGTGTTTTGAAACTACTTAAAACAATTTTAAATGTTTTAAATATGTACTCTGTATATAAATTTTGCTGTGATTTGTAATTTGTTGATTTTGGAGGTCTGAAGCCTTACTGTCACATTATTTATTGAGCACTTGCTATATTCCAGGGCACCGTTTTAGCACTTACATTGTATTTGGGTATGAGAAGAATATAATTCCTTCCTTCTAGGAGATTGCACTCTACCAAGTGGGCTAAAATAAGTAGTAAGAAAGCTGTTTTTAAAACTGATGATAGCATCAGTCAGCATTTATTGGGACCTACTTTGAGCCAGGCAGTGTTCTAAATTCTTTACGTGCATTACTTATTTAATCCTTAAGACAGCACCATGAGGGGTGTCATTATTTTGGTCTCCTCATTGAAAGACATAGAGGTTGATTAACGCCCCTGTCAAACAGCCTAGGCAGCAAAGCTAGCATTCGAACCAGACAGTTAGACTCCAGAAATCCTGATCTCAACCTCTGCATTATACTGAGTTTCAAATTCTGTGAGTGGAATACAAATCAAATCCAATGTGTATTTAGAAGAGAGTTCTGTAAAGAACTTCTTCAAAAAAGAAGCAGAGAGAGAAAGAAACTGGCATTGCAAGATGTAGATGAAAGCTTGTCTAGGCTACAGTTTAATTATACTTTGTATATAAGACCATTTTCCCCCCACCCTGGTGAACGCCTCGGGACTCTTTTTGTTTCTAAACTCTCAGTCACTCAGTTACTACAATTATGGTATTATCTTAATAATAGAACAGGTGATTATTTTTCAACAAGGAGTTTAAAATATCTGTTCTCAGACCAAAAGTGAAATGTTAGATTTAAGAAAAAAAAAAAAAAATGCTTCCCTGCCTTCAAAAAGCTTATAACCAGAGATGGCTGGGTGGCTCGGTCGGTTAAATGACTGACTCTTGATTTTGGCTCAGATCGCGATCCCAGGATCTTGGGGATTGAGCCCCGAGTCCGGCTCTGCACTGCACGTGGAGCCTGGTTAAGATTCTCTCTCTCCCCCTCTGCCCTCTCCCCTGCTTGCACTCTCTTTCTCTCTCTAAAATAAAAAAAAAAAAATTTGTTTCAAAAAGCATATAAGCAGACATGTAAATAAGTCCCTACAATTTCAGTGTGATAAGAGTTATAACAGAGATTGAGACAGAATTTAGTGGGAATAGTGATGAGGGAAAATAATTCTGTGTATGATAGGGAGGAAGATTGGAGAGGAGATACCATATTTGAATTTGGCTTTGCAGGATGAATAGCAGTTAACTGACTTGAGGAAGGAATTAGAAGATATGGATGAAAACAAGAATATTATGTGGAAGTTTATGGTATGTGTGAGGGATGTATTGTAGTTTATTGCCTAAAGATGAGAGTGTATGAAGATGAGAGGCTGGGCTAAAGGGGATGGTGCCTGGAACCAAGCTGGAAAAAGAACATTTCTGAGTTTGATTATGGTGGCATTAGGGTCACTGAAATTGCTAGAAATGAGGTGAGTGTGGGGTTTCAGTGTCTCTCCTTGGGAATAATGAAGACTTGTCCGGTTTGGCAAAGTGTTTCACTATAGAATATGGTGTTAAAAGCTGTTTTAATACTTTGAAGTACAAGAAGAGTCCTAAAACAACATACAGATTTAGCTAAATAAAAAGTTAGGACTCAGAAAAAAGAAGTTGGCTGGTGCCACGCGGTGAAGAGTTTCTGTATCATGTTAGGGACTTTGGACTCGATTCTAAAGACAATGGAGAGCCAGTGAAGGATGGTAGGTAATTAGGAAAGATAGTATGGTGGTACGGTGTGGAGGCTGGATGGGATGGAGAGAGGCAGAAGATAAAGAGATAAGTTAGAAGGCTTAACGCTATTGAAATCGTCCAGATAAGAGAGGATAGGGCCTGGAGTGGGGAAATCGTAATAAAGAGGAGAGGACATGTCAAGATGGAGAATTTACAGGGGCCTCAAAAGTGATTGGCTTTGAAGGTGAACAGAAAAAGTAAATGGCTTAGTTTCTTAGTTTGGGAAACCGTGGGTAGGAGAACTTGTTTTATTTTTTAATGTGAGAGGAAGATCATTGTTTCAGTGTTGAACACGTTGAGTTTGAAGTGTGTCTGTCTGGAGCATTCAGGTAGAGATGTCAGGTCGGGAGGATCCAGAGCCCAGGAGGGAGGCTGAGATTGGTGATCCAGATTTCAGAGTTAGCCAGTAAGTGGTATTTGAAGCCTTAAGAGCAGAGGAAATTGCTCAGGGAGAGCAATCATACGATATGATTCTTGATCTCAGGGTTGTGAGTTTGGGCCCCATGTTGGGTGTAGAGATTTACTTCAAAATAAAATCTTAAAAACATAAAATAGTAAAATAAAATTGTATTCGGGAGTCACTCATTTATTCCAGAAGTGTATTGCCTGAGGTATTATTGGAGTTCCTGTTTGTTAAAGCAAACAAACAAACAAATGAAACAACTTTATAGCAAATTCACAGCCATACAAGAATGTAGACCTTCTAGTTTTATTACAGAATTCTTTTTCCTCCTCTGTACTTTCTATTTCTGTGCATATATTGCCAATTTAGCTTGAGTCAAACCTATGAAAGCATATGACTATACCCTCACTCAATTGTTAGCTCTCGGAAGTCAGAGAAAGTGCTTTTTTTTCCGAAGAGATCTTCACTTCCCATAAATATGGATTATTAATAAATGTTTGTTGGTTGATTCATCTTCATAACCAACCTTACTCAATTTTGGCTCCAAGTAGCTTAGCCATCTCCAAAATTCATATTCATCCCCAAAGAATGAAGGTTTGCCACCACTGAGGAAACTCAAAAGAATGTGGTATGGCTTTGAAAGCATTTTCAAAAATGGACTTTCAGAAATATTTTCCTAATTTGTAGTATCATTAGAATAAACGTATGGTCTCTTAAGGGAGAAGGTGGCAAACTTTCTCTGTAAAGGGCTAGAATGGTGAATACTAGACTTGGTGGGCCATATGTCTCTGTCACAGCTACGCAATTCTGCTATAAAAAGCCATGGACAATACTTCAATGAATGAGCATGGGCTCTGTTCCAATGAAAGTTTATTTATGGTCACTAAAA